CGCCATATTAAGATTGCAGCCTCAATAGGAAGCTTAGAAAGAAAATCTCCCAAAATATCTCCTTCACTTACCTTTATGTCCGCCATTTTTCACACGACTCCTACATCGATCATCCGATCTCACTGATTGAACAAAGTCAAGGAAACCTGCGTACCACAATGTCTTTGGTTATATAGAACAAAACAAAGTCAATCAAACTGCTCAGAATAACAACCTCCAAACCCATAATTATACATGACATAGTAAAACTTAGAAAAAGTAAAGTATCCAGAGGGGTTGGACCACTCCAACGAAATTTTCAAGGAGCTGGAATGAAAATTTACTGAACGTTAATACCTATAGATACATACGTTATGAGGTATAAAAAATCACGTTATACAAAATGTCAACAATCTCATGAAAATGGTAAATTAGAGATACACAGCAAGTAAAGAGAGATCGAATGGTTGTTTAATTTTACGGATGAATGTTAATTCTTGAAACTCAGTCAGAGCTCTTCTTCCGAGCGTCAAGCTCCTTTCTCCTTCGGACACCTGGAGCCATTTGAAGATCGAGAATCTTTTTGTATTCTGCACGACCCAACAGCGAATAAGCAGTGGCGAGAAGTCGATGTGCAATTTTATCGAACTGTTCGTGATTGGCTAGGAACAACCACTGACCCAACTCCAATCCCATTCCAAAATCGCATTCATCAGTGGCAATCTGAACATATGCAAACTTGAACAAAATGAAACCTCGATTGAAAGCTCCAAGTCATTTTATGAAATAAGAACAAACCATCGAGTTTCGACCTGCTTTGAGGAAACCTTTCAGCTTTTTTTTTCAAGAAATTGTTACAAAGTAGAAATGGAAAAAGCGCAGAGTGGTCTAGCTTCAACATATTTATACCTAGTACGTTTCTGCAACAAGAAAGCTCTATTTATTATGTGCGCACCTTTTCGGTGTATTAAATAAACAAATAAATATTCCGAATGACGACCGCAGCGAGAATAAATAAAACTATGCGGCTCCCCAACGCAATGAATTTTGGAAGGTTCATTACCTGTTTTTTTTTTGAGTAATTAGTTCGAACTACCAAGTGATGGAACTTCCAAATAAAAGTGGAATTCGTTGGGGTCGTTTAGGGAAGCAAAATAAATAAACATCCACAAAAACGCGAAAAAATCATGGCTCTGAGACAAGGTCCACCGTGCGTGGATTTTCCCATTAATAGGGGTCAAATAATTTTGCAGGAATCGTGGTAGTGAACGGATTGCGCAGGAATGTATGGCGGGCGATGTTTTAGAATTTCAGGTTTTTTTTTGCTGCAAAATTCAAACGCCATATTTATGGCCCCGTTCGCCAACCTTTTGGGGTTCTTGAGGGGACGAAGAGTAAGACTGTAGTGTTGAGTGATGGCAGGATTAACAGGCTGTCAATACGCTCGATTGTTAAAAGGGAATTGTACGGATAAAGCCCTTCTAGGAGGGCATCGTAAAAATTTTAAATAAGCATAGCGTAATAGCTGACTCTGTCTAAGGTGCAAACGGCGCAGCTTGCTGTCAGAGATGGTTGCGCGCTGGCAATTAAATGAAGCAAGAAAAGAGCCACACGATCTTGGTACCTCATCATTTAATGATTCACGTTCATAAAAGCTGTGTTACGAAATGTGATCGTCATCGCTCCACAAATATGGAATGTCGACCGACTCACTCCGTGCAGGAGGTCACGCGAACCCACTGAGTGATCACCTCCAGAATCCAGTGTATGGGGTCTCGGGCATAAATATTCTTCACATCACTGGATCATATATAAGTCACTGCTCACAGAGACATCTGGCGCGTCGCATCGCCCGAACATGAAGCAACAATCTCCGGAGTCGGATTTTCCGAGATTAATTGCATAGCAATCGGTCCGTCATAGTGGTCGAGATGAGTTAAAATTCCGTCGAAAAATGCCGAAACACAGCGTCCCATCAGCATTGGCCGAGTGACGGATGGAGGTGTATTATATGGATCATTAGCTTACTGTAGCGACCTCTTACTACTCCTTTAAGGAACGATGTGGGTGTCAAGGCGACACCATCTCGTCATAGTCCTTTGCAGCAGCGCTCAGTGAAGGATCAAATCACATAAATTTGACAAGAACAGCATTTACAAGAAGAGACTGTCTATCTAAAACCTAAGTTCTGCGGAGGATATCGTTTCTTCAAATACAAGTACCATTTAATGAAACAGGTTTGATCCTTGCAGCAAAATCGAAGTAAGTGCGAATGGGCTTTGCAGTAAGCGAACAGGAGAGAATCTGCCTAGAACGCTTAAGTTAAGGGCTTGCTCACGTCTGTAATTCGGCTATGATAGGGCAATGAGAGACCAAGCGCGAGAAGGATAGTGAGGTGCGAGAGCAGCAGATAAGAGCGCGGCAGACAACTGCCTGCTGTGCATGGTGAAAAATTGAAGCTGGAAGACTTTTTTGCTCAAGCGCGTGGTCGAAGGCCAATTCTCCATGCAGGTGCGTGCCCACTGTTTATTTTTCCTCTAAGGCTCTACCATAAAGACTGAAGGGAATCGTTCACACGACTTATGCCTAGATTGGGCCTTGCAGCTCAAATGATGACCACCAAACTTGACCCAGACCAACCCGTTTAGCATTCTTCCTTTCATGGGTAGGAGCTGGTGACGTGAATAGCGTGAGAGCACTGGACCTCTGAAAGGTGAGACGTCCGGCAACCTTAAATCTCCTGCGATTCCATAGTTTTGCCCAAAACGTGCGAAAGGCGAAATCACGACTTGACTAGGATGAGTTAAAACGACGGAATGGGAAAGAGAACGAAAGCTAAGTTTCATTAGGATTTTGTCAAACCGATCCAGAGAGAGATTTAGTGCGAGATAGCATGGCGAGGCAGGCGCACCAGCTGTCAATGCTGTTGAACGACTCTCCAAATTGCCACCTACGTCGAATTCTATCCTCCTATGTGTACAAACAGCTTCCACGGTGTGCCAGCTTGTATGTGTGTACGTGTTTGGCCGTTCGCACAAGAAATTGAGTGATAAGGCCGGGAATGGAAAGGCCAAATCGCTTAGAGAAACTTCGCAGAACTTGGGCTGTCAGTATTTCAAAACGGCATAACTGTGGTAGCAATCACAACGGTACATTAACACGCTTTAGTCGATTCAGTCATTCCAGATGTGTTACAGTGGCAGCTGAAGGAGGGGAAGGGGGAAAGTAACCGAGGACAGAGCTAAGGTCCAGTTTGTGTTCCACTACCGCTGTTCAATGATGGAAGAATGCTCTCTGTATCTAGCAGCTTTTTTTGGGCAGCCCCACCCCTTCGCGAAGTTGGTGTCAGATGTGGAAGGGAGAAAACAGCGAAAGGGACACAGCTTAAACAGCGAGTGATGGTGCAGGACGTTTCAGGAAACAAATCTGGCCATAAATAAAGCGCGGTCGCTGGCAGTGAGACGAAACTTGAAATTACATTAGCGCTCGCATGTGAAATCAAAACGAGCCGTGAAAAAGACTGAGTAAGTAGTCAACCATTTTCGCCCCACAGAATCCTGCATTGTTCGCATTTCCTAATATTCCGAACGGTTAATTGTACGCACGACCTGACGATGTACGATAAGTTAATGGTCAGAAACGAGATAAATGAACACTATTTTCTATTATAACAGACAAAGCCACCCGAACCGCTCCAAACTAGCTCCAGAACGTGTAAACGAAAGCCTTGAGGAGCCGAAATGGTGATATGCTCTAGAACGAATAGCTCATGAAGAATGGAAGGCACTCACATCGTAAAAGTTAGGCGAGGAAAATCGCACTGGTAAAAGAATTTATTTGGAGCCAGATCCTCGAGCGAGCAAGAGCAAAACTGATGTGAATCAATCTCAGTGAATCAAAAAAAAAGATAGCAGCTAGATTGTGCGTTTAGAGGTCGAGAGTTCGCACATCATCGTGGTAAATGAAGTAGGTAAAAAGGATAACCATTTGGCCGTTGATCAATCCTTTTTGGGATGCGGCACGCATTCTACTTCCATTTGTACATTCGTAGGGTTTGAATGCGATGTGGCCTATACAATGACTTGCGGGGGCCAGCCGATGTACAAGTCAGTGTTTTTATCCTCCCAGACAAGTCTGGTACCAATTAACCGACCCCGGAGGGATGGAAGCTTGGTTGGCCCGGGCGACTTACGACCCAGGATTTGATCCCCGGACCGTTCGCGTGGTAAGCGCGCCTTGTTCTGACACCACTTTCCGCCATAAATGCGCTCAATCACATTTGGTCTAGGAGAGCCGCAGGAGACCGGGACAAATAGATATCAGTGTATACGGCGAAGAAGATCGATCTGTAAGTGTGTGTGCTCCAAAACTGACAGAATTTTGGTGAGAACTCTTAGTTTGCCTCCAGCATGCCCTTACATCAAGAACATCTATCGCAAACTGAACACATCTGAAAGAATGAGCACAAAACATGTAAGAGCAGATCGCGCCACAACCGAGGCTGAGGTACCGACACTGTGGCGACATCGAAGACAGTACAGCCTGAAAGTAAGGAGATTGTGCCTGCGCTGGATATGAATTATATGGGTGGCTAGAAGTACCATAATTGAGCAGTAGCATAAATTGCTTGCTCGAAGTTTCGTCAAGGGCGAACGTTACTACCGACTTTGGACAATTTCCGAGAGCCAGTGACAAGGCTAATACAAAGGAGGGCGTAATATCAAGTAATGGAATAACTAATAATTCATCGTAAAGTAAACACGAGAGCTGAGGGGAATAGATGCATTGATCTCAGTATATTATGTGTGATAAACACGGTAAAAAGAAAACGAACTGGAACCCGAGTCCCTTCTGAACGTGAAAGGAACGCAGCACCTTTGAGATAAGGATCTAAGAGTTCATAGAAAAGTAATCGCGGTGATATAGGGAAGTGAGAAAATTTTTGAACGATTTCGCAATAGTACGCAAGTGTTTCGCCATGAGTCAGTGTAGCGTGAAACGAATAATTGCACTATAGACCACCCAAACGTTCACACCAACCATTTTCCATACCATAAAGAATAGAAATCGGAAAACGGAACACCAGTAGATGTGAAGGATTCGAATGAGCCCAGAAGAGATGGCTCTTCGGTTTACGTGGATGGATTGAGAGCTCATTTTTCTGTTATGCAGCTATTGCAGAACATGACTTAAACTACCTGAGCAAACGTGACGAGTTCCATGAGCCACTGCATTTTACTTGGTCGTAGTGATTCATCAAGATCAGCGCTACATAGTAGATCTAACGTTTTTCTGATCTTTCCTAAAAAAAACTGATTCCTAGGCAAGAAAGTGAAGAGTGGGAAAATTCGGCTCTGTTACAATTGCTTAGACGCATATGCGAAATAATCACCTGCATCTTCAGAAATAGGACGATATCCAACATCATTGACCACCTCTACCCACAAACCAGCACCGCTAGGGGCCTTTCCCAACTGAAAAGAATTACTATTCACCAACTAACAGAATAATAGGTCACATTGACGGTGGGAGCATCAAAACAGCCACATGTAATTGCATCAAACCTTCTTCTTATTGCGTTGGCTGCAAACCGCCTTCATCTGTTGTTTGAGGGCCCCAACATCTGTTGATTTCGTGAGGTAAGATTCAGCAACGTCTTTTGTTTTACCAGCAAGGTGTACAATCGCGTGTTCCATGCGATTTCCTACGACCTAGACATTTCATATTAATGATCAAGCTGAGAGATTGAGCAATACGGTGTTACAGGAATTACCTCGATCTTAGGGAATCGATCATCATTTGGAACATATACTATCAAGCCATCTTCACTATTAGGAATATCCCTGAACACTGGAAATTTCAAGCAAAACAGTACAAATTGATAACACTATTATTGCTCCCGCACAATGGGTATACATACATAATAATGGGTTACCATATATACTTGGCGGAAAAAAATGAAAGGCCAGGATAGTTTTCGAATTACAACCGCAGTGCGATTACATACCTCCACAACAAGATCTACGTATCACACGACAGAAGTGTCTGCATTTCTGACAGATCGGTGGCATGTCTGTAGTGCAGAAGCAGTTCGTCTTCTGTGAAGGATTTTCGATTACTCGCAGATGACGCGTAAACGACAACGGTGACAACAAAACGCAACAGATTGGTGGAATTACCTGATAGCATGGTAGAAGAGTTCCCCATTGAGCAACTCGAACAGTCCAACCAGGTGAGCTGAGCTCAGCTTTTTTGCGCTGCTGCAATAATGACAGCAAACATCGATAAATATAAATTGATCCACACAGAAAGCAGAAACTTCTGGGAAAGCGCGCTTTCTCCTCTTTCTTCAATGCGTTCTCGTGTTGGTCCCAGCACGCCTACTGCGCGCATGAAATGAAATATATAAAATAGATATAAGTGTAGTGCTTGTGGATGACACAGCAGCAATAGGTATTTGCAACCTCCGAGTGTGCATGCATGGATTCTGCCTTCACCAACCCGAAACATTTACAATTTGTTTTATTTTGATTACAACTTGGGACTGTGCGGAAGAGGAACAGCAGTTAACCTGAGGACTTAGAACTACAATCCATTACATGGTTGTAGGCCGTATACTCTGCAATGCCTATTGGACGCCCTACTCTTCAAGCGAATCGATCAAAGAAGAGCGGTTCCCGCGGGCCCAAAATTAGGTTTTAAAAACCTTTTGTTATTTGGAAGCCCTATCTCAACTAACGTCTAAATCTCAGCTTTTAGATTGGACACCCATTGACTCAATTAATACTACATAATGATACAGTTTTCTTTTCCTTTCTTTTCGCAAATCACAGAGTTAGTTCCAGTGATTATTCAACGTTGCTCACCGACAAGTTACTTCATACCACACAAGGATCACTACAACTACAAGAAAATTGTAAGCAAACAACGGTATTGTGAAAAGCATTACAAAAGAACTCACAACATGGATCTCCGGGGCAAAGAGATGCCGCATAACGTAGAAATCTGTGACGAATTTAGGCACGCACACAGAATCAGGAATATTCACACTGGCATCCCCAGCAGGTCTACAAAATAACACATCATCCAAGCAAAGTTAGAGTACAGAGATGAAGTGATGAGGGTTCCAGTTAAAAATCGCTTGTGAATCAGCTCACAATCTCTTTTCCTTTCTTTCGATTATGTGCAAAACGTGGAGCTATGAAACAAAAATGATGGCAGATGACAATACAAACTGCTCAAACACCGAGTCATGGCAATTTTCCAAAAGCATGCACATTACTCAAAAGAAAACCTTTACATTGGAATAAGCACTTGAAGTCGCACTTAAATTAGTATGACTGGAAACAGCACACCACATCCGCTACAGAATCCCTGACGCGTTTGTGATGTTACTGTTTACGATCCCTCCAATTACACTGAGGGACTGAGCAGTGCAAATAGGGACTCAAAGTCAAGCACTTATCTGCTCAATTTTCAGAAAAAAGTAACACACGAACCGCAGGAAAATGGTGAGGGTTTCCCAAAAAACCCACTTTCTCAAACACATATAAGGTAAGCTTCTGAAGCAGGTGTCACAGTTCTTGATTAGAGGCCAAACACGACTAGAGAGGAAGCGCGACTAGAGAAGAAACGCGAGCCGAGAGTAAACGTGAAAACGAAACTTTAAAAAGAAAATAAATACAATATACAATAAATCAACAAGTGAAAGAAAAGGAAAGAAAAATACACTTATTCAACGACTCTACCTAATATGAGCTTCTCCAGCGATGAAAAGAAAAAAAATATACTTATCCAACAACTCTACCTAATATGAGCTTCCTCTAGCGACATATCCAGTTTCCCTAACAGTAGGAGTCCTCAGACATCATCCTCAATCCTCGCATACCGAATGTTCGCGTTTACTCTAATCGCATTTCCCCTCTATTCGCAAGCTCTGACACCTGCCTTGCCTTGACAACTTTGAGGCAACGCTTTCGCCACGCTTCGTTCAATAGGTTTATCTTATTGAAACTCAATATTAAATAATATGCAATGATGGTCTTACGAAAAATGTACGAAAAAAAAGGCAGCTAAGAAAAGACTGCGCTACGATGACGCAAGCCCCTACCAGAGATATGTTTCGAAGGTGAGTCTAATGAGCTTGCATATTGTAAAAACACAGCACGAACTCACCCTTCCGTTGAATCGACGTGTACTGGCGAAGTTTTTGCAACCTTACTCCGCACTCCAAACGGTGTCTTCTTAGAATGGTTGTTCTCCAGATTTTTCGTTCTGAAACAAAATGTAATAATCTTTTTAACAACAATATCATTGAAAATTCAAACCCAGTGAGAATGTATGATCCTCGCTCATCCCTGTCCCCGACTTAACAACGCTCTGGATTCCTTTTGCATCGGCAGAAGCAGTAGCTCTTTCGAGAAACCATCGCGATGCAGAAAAAATGGCAAAGCACTCACGGAAGACTTCGCCGCCCTTTTGCGAGAGTTCTTTGTGGACATCTTCGAACTTATTAGCGTACGAGCGACAACACTTGAGCTCCTATAACATCTTGATTTCCCAACAAGAGCGTTGTATTCTGCGAGGACTAGAAGCACTACCTCACCCTATCGAAGAACCATAACAAAAAGTGCATGAACATGAAACAATAGTGGCTCCCATTCAGAACATCATACAGCACAATACAAGCGCTATGAACATTCATTCAAAACAACAAGACGCTTGCAACAAACATAAAATACCTCCTCAATACGACATTGCTATCGAAAACGTACTGGTGTGTGTATTTTGGCGCACCGTAAGATCTAGACTAGCAACCTTTTTTAACAACAGCCTAACAACAACTACGGAAATTATAAACAGTTCATGTTCGTAATCGTCTTCTGTCAACTCGCAGATGGCTTTGGATTTGATTCTAGCTGAGCCTAAAACATTGAGCGTACAAACTGGTAAATGAAGAAGTTTTCGCAATAGTATGATTCCTGGCAGAAAGGAAGCCAAACTAACCTTCGGCCGGTTGTTAGGATCAAAGGGACTAGGCAGTTGCAGACCAGACTTCGCTTCAAAGAAAGTGTAGCTGAGAAGGATATTGTCCAGGTATTCCAAAGCTGGGTCATTGGCATAATCAGGATACTATGTAGAGAAAACGGGCAAATCCCCTAAAACAATGAAGCCATCGCTAGAGCTTGTTCGAATTGCATATCGCAGAAGGAGGTTCAAACTCACTTGTTCACCAGGGTTCAAAATTTGCTCTTCAAAACAAAAACACTGGATCTTATTGAAATAATAAGCCGCTTGGAATGGCGTAAGGTTGTAACTCGATATGCCAACTATTGGACGATCGGTAGGATTTTTCGCAGTGTAGAACGCAAGGGCCGTTTCTCCTGGATGAACGTACATCTAAAAACAAGCAATAATCATTCCATATTCTAATCGCAGAAAATCAAGCAAGACTCGTGCAGATCACAAACGCTCTACAGCGACGCAACACAGAAGTCTGAGGCAGTACAGCGCAAACCTCGTGCTGTTGTGGCTTGAATTCCCACTGCATACTAGAAGGGGTGTCAGAGTTGAACTGTACTCGAATAAGTCGATCTTCTACTTTCTTCATTCTTGCGATTTTTTCAAAGTCATCTGCAACCTAAACGCTATAAAAACGTTTTGTGGGATTAAGCACGGGAAGTCTGTTACCAAAAGGAATCCCAAAACGCCTCAAAAAAGCATCTAGTGAATAAATACCTGAGTTAAACCACCAAATGAGGTCTTTTCACAGAATACCCTGTAAGCCGGAATCGCAGCAAACGTCACTCCAATGGCCACAACTCCCAGACTCACCACGTAGTACAGTACATCGCGGTGGCCTCCAGCATCTCTACCCTACACAAATACATTAACTTTCGACTTCGATTGAAGTGAGATAACAAAAAAGGAATCACTTGATAAGCTGTTCGTGCGATGCGGAGCCGTGCGCTAGGAGGTAATAGTAATCGTGGTTTACAAACAAAATGCGAAGTTGATGGTAAGGCGAGTCGTAGAAATCGAGACAACGACATCTAAACTCCTTCAAATAAACATATGTTGAGTACTACTTTTCAAGTATTGTGGCATAGATAAAGTATGGAACCGCACAGTGATACCAAACAGAAACACCAAAAGCAAGAACTCGTTTAATGTACGGCAGAAAAATTTACACATCGACAAGTGATTTTCGCTTCACTTTCCGCTTCTCTTCGGGCGCAAACGGATTTTGGCGCTCATAAAAAGACTTCAAGAGATTGACTGATCGATCGACATCTACTGAGTCCACAACCTAAAGTAAGAATACCATGAACAACTAAGTAGCAATTATTCAAATCGAAATCAATTTGGACAGAGCTAATTCTTTACCTCGATTGTTGCTCCTTCCACATTGTACTTACTGCTATTACCCACACTTTTTATTCCTCCGAATCTCTCGTTCGCAGCCGCGTAAACGATTTCTTGGATATGCCTAAACAGCAGATTGTAACTCTGCGCTAAATGACTTAATCTTGCTGCAAAGGTCAAGTTGAAGACAATGAGAGGACGCTTCTTTTTTCCTATGTATTTACATCTACTCTGTCAATGAAACTTGAATACCCTACCTAACTCATAGAGTCCACTAGCACACATTATGCATGGCTCAAGCGTCACGTAGAGAACTAAATCATGAAGAATCTAAATATGTGGTATAGTTCGCTCAAACAGCTAAAATTGGATCGGGAATCAAGCGATTTCCGCCCAACAGCAAAAGTCAGTTTTTGATAGAGAAAAGTTTATTTACGCCCGACATCAGTTTGACTAATGAATTTCGTCAGCAAAGATAACTACTGAATAAACACGTATAAAGTTACTGGGTATTTCAACAAAGCACAGCAAACATGAAGGCCGATGCTAAACCCTTTGATAGCCAATCTGCACTCCATTCTTCGCAATGCAACCATTTCAGCATGGGTAGTCGGATCCTTTGTGCTGTTGACCTCGTTCCTGCCTCGTCCCACCTATATTTCTCTTGAATTAAAAGTTACTAACAAACTTAGATTCAAACACCGACCAGGTTTCAGATCATCGCTATATAAAAAGACTGCTTATATGTCAGCCTATTTGTTAGCCTATTTGTCATACATTTACATAGTCACCATTGGTAGCCGAGTCAAGCTTGGGACGGATGGCGCATGGGTGTACCTGTATAATAGAACAGGGCTCCAAGTGGAGCTCCGCCAACGACAAGTACGGCATACAGCGAAATGGACGATGCCAAAAGCAAAAATTACTCGTTTCTCAGGACAGGCCAGGAATCGATAAAATAGGTAAAGATGAGCAAGGGGTGCTGGATGCTATGAAGAAAGCCCACTCGCGATAGGCCGTAAAAACCCTACTTGGACGGCACCTAGTACCAATGTCTGTTTCAAAACAACCTTGATACCGAAACAAATGGTAGGCAAAAGTTTTCCATTAGTGCTAAGGCAGGCCGAAAATAAGTGGAAGCTCTGCTGAGTGTTGTTCACTGCGAAAACCGCAACCCTTACAAGAGGTCCTAAGGTTGAGAAGGATGGATAGAAGCAAACCAAGCATCAAGCACCAAGTCCAATTTCCATGGCTAACGGCTAAAAAGCAGCTTGACACAGGTTGTTCGAAGTTTGGTCTCAAATGAGTCTAACATCACAACATTACCGTTACCCGTGAGACGCCACATAACCCGGAGAAATATATCTTTCAACGCAAATAAAAGCGCCAACCATCTCCTAACCCTCGCAACTCTCAATCATGAGCACGGAGACTACTCCGAAGAACACACACCTCTTTCCCACGATATACGAACACGCAGCCAACAGGAACTTCATTATTTTCAAGAGCCTCCTCCGCCAGTTGAAACGCTCTCTCCATGAACTCTTTGTCGCTATCTGACAGCTGCACCTGAACAAGATCCTGTTTCTCAATACCAGTTGGATATCAAAACTGTAACCACGTTAGCACCTTATCTGCTGAACTCATCATTCAGATCAGGACCATAGCAAAAATACGGCGCGAACTCTACTCCTCAACAAATCTGTAATATCCTGAAATACCTACATATTATACTACATGACAACTGCTACCTTGAAGCTTGCAAAAAATACAAAAATACATAAAATACTCCTTGAACTTCATTGAAACAGCC